AAAAAAAAAAAAAAAAGAATCTTCTGCAGAACATGGAATAATACGCCGCCATATGTTTTGTTTGTGCATGTGGTGAGGAGAGGCCCTTGGGGCCACTGCTCGTATTCCTAAGAAAAGAAAAGAGAGAAAAAAGGAAAACGAGAAAAAAAAAACAGAAAAAAGAAAAACAAGGAAAAAGAAATCTCGTTTTTCTTTTCTTAGGATTACGTGCAGTGGCCCTAAGGGCCTCAACTCACCTATGGCGAAGTATTATTCCATGTTCTGCAGAAGATTCATTCTAGTTCTGCACATTTGGTGAGTAGTGCAGCAGCCAAGCCCTGAGAATCACGTGCAGACTGTGCTGAGACCAACACAGACGTGAGCAACCCATAACTGCTGAAACACAGAGCTGAACCTGAATCCTGATGATATATTCGGCCAACTCCTGATCTATACCATACTGACTGCGTGGCTCGATTTTGAGGGAGGGTCTGCACTTTAGTGCTGCGATGACGCTCCAGATAGCCTGCATGGGCCGTCTACGACGTGTTAGGGGGATTTCGCCATCCCCCCCCCCCCCAAAAGAAAAAGGACCCTTCATACATACACACACATACTTTTTTTTTTTTTTTTTTTTGGTTTGCCCGTTTCGCCAGGGGCATTGGCCCACAGCCCCCATCGAGCACTGTCGTCGCTCCCCACACTGCCCACAGCGCCCCCAAGCACCACCGCTGCTCCCCACACTACCCAAAGGCCCCTCCCAGCCCGCACAACTCCCTGCGCAAACGCGTCAAACGCGTTTACTGCCGTTCACTGAACGCGCGTTCACCGCGTTCAAAACCTGAACGCGAAACGCGCGTTCAATGAACGCGCGGTAAAATAGGCATCCATACATCCATCCATTCAGTAATCATACACATAACACATCAGAGATGGAAGAATCGCGAGGGCAAATGTGAGCAAAAACCCAAATCCAGATTCCGAGAAATAGAAAGGGAAAACAAAAACGGGCGAATCGCCCGGAGCCGTAAATCAGAATTTATGTACACAGGCAAAGAGGGGGAAAAGACAAAGAATCAGCAAATCCGCACCCATCCACCTCAACTCTCTCTTCCTCTCTCTCCTCTTCTCCGATGCGGACAGTCCGTCGTCGCACACTAACCCACGAAGTCGTCACCCCGCTTAGTCCTCCCGCACGCGTCAGGTTCGCCCTCGCCCACAGTCTGTCGTGGCCCGCGTCAACCCCGTGCGTTCGGCACCAGCTCGTCGGGTCGCCCGACTCCTACTCTACTCACCTCTTACTTTGCTCGTGTGCTGACCCTTCCTGATCGCGCAACCCCGAGCTTCCAACAGCTGGTTAAGAGAGCTAACTAATCGCGCAGCCAGAATTTATAGCGTGCATGCGTGCGCGAAGAACACGGAATTACCAGGACTTAGAAGAAGGGAAGGGGGAGAGATTGCCTACATCTGCATGGTCTGATCGCGGCATGGGGGACGTAGCCACTCTCCACGCATCGATCCGATCATGCAGACCGTGGCTACCAAAAATGCAGCAAAAGAAAGAGAAGAAGGGCGGGAAAGACGAAGCGCAAGAAGAAAGATACAGTTACAATGGCGCCCGCCCAAAATTACTGTTACACACACGATTAAAGGCACCTACTAATCAGAGTTTCGTTGCAGCCGCATGAAGAAGCGCGCAGACAAAAAGCGTCGCGCGGCAAGGAAAATCCTAATTACGAAATTCCTAAATTCCTATCTAATGCGAGGAAGCAAAAAACACAAATTCTAGAAGAAAAGTCCGAAATTCCGAGAGCCATCGGGGCTCAACAAATTTCGAAAAAGATTTAAAAGAAAAATTCAAAGAACGAAGCAAATTTCCGCGCGATGTCCGCGCCCAAAAGTTTGGAACCGAAACAAAAGAAACAACGTCAGCATTTATCAAACGTGCGCACGACGGCGCGCCAGCCATTCGGTCAACCAATCAATCAACCGGTCGTCCTAGGACACGCCCGGCTCCGAACCCAGCCATTCGAAAAAAAGCGACGAAAAAGACGAAAAAGCAAGGACACTGATGCAATTTCCCACCGATCCCGATCTCCCGTAATTGGCCCGACGCCGAAACCGCGTGCAATCGCAGGAAAGGCCGCGGAGGGAAGGGGAACAACCGGATCAACACACTCGTACTCCTAAGCGGACAGTCCCCCAGTTCAGTTTCCCCATCCCCGCCCGGACGAGTACATACATACATACATACATGCATGCAATCAACAACCCGTGACAGGACATCTAATTATCCATGGACCTTCGACATCACTCATGTGCACAACCAGCTCCCATCACTCGGGGCTTCAAGCACACGACATGCATAGACAAAGCAGCAATGGAGATAAAAGCGAGTCCTTCTTGTACACAAAAATTTCAATTAGTTGCCGCCCCCAGGCGCAGCCTTCACAACTCCCCAAGACCACTGACCACCATAGCCACAAGGCCCTGTTGCAGCCGGCGTCCAATCCCCACCACTGCTCAGTCCCTCCAACGGCTTCGCCCCGAGACTATCGCGGGTCCACCCCACGTCGTCACTCCGCCTGTCCTTGGGCTCGTCGAGCCTGTTCGGCGCTGCGGACTCTCGCATGTAGCTCGCGCAGCATTGCAGCCGAGATCAAAGAGAGAGAGAGGAGAGGGTTGCGCAAATTTATAGCGCGGGAGGCGGCGGGTTGTCAGCGCGAGGTGCGGGCAGCGCAGGTTGTAGATGAGCAGGACAGGAGGAAGGTGGGGAGTTAGAGGGTTTGACCCACGGGATGGCATGGTCCTGCGTGATTGGGGTGTCCGTTCAAGTGGCGCGCGGTTTCCCGCTCTCCACATTGATCCGAGCATCCCAACTACGCGGCCAATCACTTCGCGGGGTAAGGATCAAGCTGGGCGGAGGGGAAGACGAAGAGTCCGGCATGGGGAAAATGCGCGCAGCAAGGAGGGAAGATGGCGTGAGGATGCAAAACAAGAAACGGGGATGCGAGATGCGCGAAGAAATCGGAGGTTGGGCGCGCTCGCGCAAAAATTCAAAAGTCCCAACCGCACCCGTTTCTTGGTTTTCATACCGCGGCCGCTATTCGCCCGCGGAAGTTATTAACCAAACAAAATGAAAAAGCCGTTTCAAAAAGAAAACAAAAGCAAAAAGAAGGAAAACCCCTTTCTATCCGCGTCCGTTCTTCGGGACTTCCGCGGGATTTTTGCTCAGGGATACGGCAAGCCGCGCGGTACGGATCTGAGCGTATCACATCTGTGATACGCAGGGGGTTCCGAAAAATTAGCAGTCTCCCGACTGCTGATGTCATCACATCTTGGATGATCGGGCGGCCTCTTCATCGTCAGTTGGCCCGATCATCTTCCTAATCTACGTGGATACATCCTGCATCCTCCATCGCCTTCTCCCATAGTATACATCCGATCGCGCGGCCCCATCATCGTCAGCTGGCCCGATCAGTATTTTTTTTTTTTTTTTTTTTTTTTTTTGTATACAGCGCGTCTCGACGCGCGAACTTTGGAGATAGGAGAAGAAGAAGAAGATGAGGAGAAGGAGAAGGAGAGAACAGGGCAGAGGTAGACGAGGGTGATCACAGGAAGTGATCTATGTCGGGATTGAGAGGGCCCGGGCGGAATAGGTGGAAGAAAAGCGGCCATTGCCGCAGGAGTCGCCGGCGCTCCCTCCTCATGGAAGTGATGCTGGACGAACGAGGGGTAGAGAAAGGCTCCCGGCACATGGGATAGGACACGTGGCGCCAGATCCGCCACTGCTCGCACCACCCACTTGCACACCGATCGGGGCCCCGGACCCGTCATCACCACATGAGTCTCGGCGTAAGGCCGCCGCTCCCGCTTCTGCGCCGCGAAGACCAGGAAGTGGTACATCGCATTGGGACGCTGTCCGGTCTCGTAGATGAGCGTCCCAGCCAATTGCGCCGCAATACACCCTTGAAAAGGGGGTGTCAGATATGGCTCCCGCGCCGGATCAGGGCGCGACGCCCCCGCGATGGCCTCCAGCCTGATGGTGGCGAGCTCCACCATGAAGTCCACCTCGGTCGGATGGACCGTCCGGCTCGGATGAACTGCTAATGTCAATGACCTGGGCCCGGGGTGGCTGGCGGGAACGGAGAGGTCCCGCGAGGACGGGGGGTCTGGATATGGGATCCGGTAATCCCATTCGGCTTCCTCCTCCGGCTGCTGCTGCTGATGATGATGGCCTGGCTCCATCAAGGTTGAGATCGGGCGCACACGGAACGGGCGGCGATGGCACGACAGCCTCCTTAACAAGTGTCGCCGCACTCCCAGGCACGGGGTCCGGATTCCGCGGACATGCGGACTGAATCACCTCCTCGCCGCCGCCGATCCTGCTGCCTTGCGCCCCTGGCGATGGGTGGCGTCTCTTCCTCTTCAGCGTCTTCTCGGGGGCCTTCGGTGGCGCTGGTCGGGGATACGACGAGGGAGGCCGCAACGGCCTTTCCTCCGGGAAGTCCTCCAATCTCTCCGCGCGCTGCGCAATGTAATCCGGAATGACGACCGTGTTGTACGTTCTCCGTAAGGCCGTCGCCGTCCGCAATCGCGGTTGGATCTCCTCCTCCTCGCTCACGATCACCTGCGCAATGGAGAGGAGCTCAAGGTGTATGAGCTCCAAGAATCCTGGATCGATCGTCTGGAGCGGGGCGAATGGGTACAGCGCGACCGTCCCTTCCTTCTCCGCTGGCTTGGGCCGCGTGATGACGTAGTAGACGACGAAGTGCTCCCCTATGCAGTGGTCTTCGTGCTCCACGAAGAACCAGAACATCCCCAACGTCATCGACTTGTACAGCGCCCGGTGCAACTCCCACGCGTCTTCGTCGGCGAAAGGCAGCGGCTCCACGTCAGTTAGCTCCACTAAATACTTCGAGAACTCGCGCATGGGATAAGGGCCCTCCGTGAGCTGGTAGGGGAGGGTGGTGTAGGAGAAGAAGGGAGGCATTTAGTACGGGACAGGGGGAATAGCTTGGAAATTGAGAGGAGCAGCGGGAGGGAGAAGCGCGGGGAGCTGCGGCACCAACGCAATCGGTCCGTCCTCTGCCCTACGCAGCAGCACCTCGTGGGCTGTGAATCGGTGTCCCCCCCGTCCTTGCAATCTGGCCACTGATCTGGCCGCTTCCACCACGTATTCGCGCACAAAGCTGCGCGCCGGCTCCCGATTCAGCTTCGGTAGGATCGTCAAGTGTCCGATGAAGGTGGCGACGTTGTGCACGAAATTGGGTGCCACCTGCAACGCGCGGAACTCAATGAATACTCGGGTCGTCTCCCGGCCCGACAACTGCGTCACGTCCACGTACACCCCCGCATACGTCAGCCGATCGCAAAGCAACGAGTACGCCGCCAAATCCGCAACCCAGGGCGCCGGCACGTTCACCTGCTGAATGTCATACCGCAACTGCCTCTCCTCATTGAACCGATGCCGCAACAGGTGATCTGCAAGCGGCGTCTGGAAATGCTCGAGGGGCTCATGCTCTGGCTGGCGATGGTTCATCCTTCTCCCTGAAACTCTCAGCACCAATGGACGAGGCAGATCGGGAAGAGGAGGAGGATGATGATGAAGAAGGAGAGGGTGATCTCGCAGGAGCGGGGGTCCGTAGGGGACCTAGCGATGGCTGGAAAGGCTGGAGCGCGGCCGCGTGCCGTGTCAGCGGTCGGGCCTGGGAGTTGTGACGGGGAATCAGTTTCACGGAGTGTTGTCCCTGTGCGCCAACTTCCGTGACCTCGTAAATGCCTGTATAACGCGGGTGGATCTTGGAGGAGCGCACAGATTTCCGTACCTGCACCAAGTCCCCAACTTTATAGCGGGGCAGTGGTCCCGCCGACGCGTGTCGATTCTCGTAGTCACGGATTTGCCGTTGATGTGTCCGATCTACGGCCTGCTGTCGACGGCGAGCTACGGGGGGATAGGCCCTAGCCATTAAGTCCATGTAGTGGCGGGCCTTGTCTCGATTCTAGGCCCGTGTTGCTCTAACTTCCGTATCTACTAAGGGGGACAATTGCACCTGAGGGACACTATTGGTTCTCAGTTGAAAGGGGGACACCCCAGTACTACCGTGTGGGGTAGCCCGATAAACGGCCAAAATGTGGTCGACAATGACCGGCCAGGGTCGGGTGTCTCCCGCAGTGATATTCCGTCTAAGGGCCGTCTTAATCAATCGGTTGGCATTCTCTACCAGGCCATTGGCTTGAGGCCAATGCCCCGGCGAGTAGATAATCTTAACGTCCCCCCTGACTAGGTGACGTTCTACTTCGCCTTGAAATTCCGACCCATTGTCCATGTGTACCTCTTCTACGTCTAGATGCATGACGTACCAGGCTACTTCCTGTGAATTCCGGCTGGTGATAGGGTACGCCTCGATCCATTTTGAAAAATGATCGACGGCCACTAAAAGAACATCGAGTTCTCCCTGATCGGCGGGCCCTCTCGGAATGTTGATATCCGTCGTATCGATGCTAACCCTCTAAAGGGGGCGCTCTACACGAGTGGGCACCATCATCTGAGGCATCTGTACCGGCGCCTTGTCCGCCGCGCGGGCCGAGCAATTCTGAACGATGTATTTCACATCTTTCCGAATTCCCAACCAGTACGATCCGTTCTTTTCGATGGCTTTTTCCGTGTACTTGACCGCGAAATGGACCGCATCCTCCTCATGAGCGGCTCGTGTCCAATCGAACCTAGCAAGAGGGTGTGGAACTGTCAACCAACTAGACTCTCCGTCATCATCGACCTTCCATTTTTGTAACGTCGGGCCCTGCCAGCGATAGTCCTGCGCCCGCTCCGTGACTCTCCGCCGTTCGGCTTTGGTAAGTTCTGATAGCGACTCGCCTAACAGTCTCCGTAGCAACAGGAGGTCCGTCCAGGCTTCTGCCCGGTGGGCACTTGGCGCAAATCCGTCGGTTGTTCTAGCGTCCAGATACTGCTTCTCGGTAGGGACTTGGTTCGTTCTACAGTTGGGACAGACCCACGTTTTTTCACTTCAATACCTAACGCACTGTCCGTGAGATTTGACCGTATGACACTGACTGCACTGTACCCATAAAAGAAAACTGGGCCCTCCCGGGTGTGACCCTTCTTGGTCTGGGATCATAGGCAAGGTACAAAAGAAACAGGGACTTAGATGTGTTTCAGAGGATGAGTTGGGGCTAGACGAGAGAGCGAGGGAGTTGGATGAGGGCAGAGAGATAGCGTCGGCCATCTCCGATGAAAGTTCCATTCCGGACTCAGGCGTCGTCCTTACGCAGCACGTGTAGCTCCCCGTAGTGCGGTTTTGTCGCCGCGACTTCTGGCCTCCACGGAATGAGTCGCTCGTTGGTGGGACACTTGTTGGGCGGCAGAAGGCGCGTTAATCCATCGGCGTTACCATGCTGCCGCATGGCACGGTGGCGGATGTCGAAGTCATAGTCTTGCAGACGCACCGCCCACCTGCCCAGCGTCCCCGTGTAGTCTGTGTTCTTGCGTAGGGACAGCAGCGGCTGATGATCCGTTACCAACACGAATTTCTGGCCGTACAGATACGGTTGGAAGTGCTGAATCTCCCACACCACCGCCGGGCATTCGCCTTTGCATGCTTCGTAATTAGCCTGCGCCTGGCTCAGCGTCTTGGACGCATACTCAATGACGTGCTCCCTTCCGTCCTTGCCGTGCTGAGTCAACACCGCCGATATCGCCTGAGGCTGCCAGTCTGTGTACAGTGCGAACGGTCTTGTCGGGTCGGGGCGCGCCAACACAGGAGCAGATGTCAGAGCCTCCCTCAACGCTTGAAACGCCGCTTCGCATTCCGGCGTCCAGATCAGCTGTTCCTCTTTATTCAGCAGGTTCGTGAGGGGCTTCGCTATGCCGGCGAACCCCTTGATGAAGCGTCGGTAATAGGATGCCAGCCCTAGACAAGCCCGAACCTGGGTGAGTGTGACCGGCGCCGGGGCGTCTTGAACTGCTGCCACCTTCCTCGGATCCGGCTTTAGTCCATCGACCGTGACGATGTACCCCAAGAATGAGATCTCCGACAAGAAGAACTCGCTTTTCTCCAAGGCCACTTTGAACCCCGCATCTTTCAGTGCATGCAAAACCCACTCAATGTGTTCCACGTGGTACTCGTGTGTTTTTGAAAAGACCAAAATATCATCCATTTACACAATCACGCAGAAATTGATCAGGGGCTGGGTTAGTCGGGTTTTGTTAACGAACTCAGCGAAGGCCATATTCATGGTCCGCTGAAACGTTGCAGGGGCGTTACAAATTCCCATGGGACATCGGACCCATTGCCACGTGCCCTCAAATAGGACAAAAGCGGTTTTGGGTCGGTCCTCAGGTCGGACTGCGACGTGGTGAAAACCGTGTCGGATATCGAACTTGGAAAAGACTCGAGCGGCCCCGATAGCATCTAACAAATCATCGATTCGCGGCAAGGGATACACATCTTTGGTAGTAATGGTGTTCAATTTCCGGTAGTCGATACATACCCGAACCGAACCATTTCGTTTTGGCATAAGGACCACGGGAAAAGACCATGGTCCCAGCGATGGTTCGACCCACCCCAACCACTCGAATTCCCGTACCCTTTCCAATGCCAACTGTCTTTCTTTAAGGGAATATCGGTACGGTCGACAATGTATCGGGACGTGATCCCCAGTATCAATCGCATGCTGTATCAAAGGGGTTAGCCCTATGTCGTGGTCCTGAATACTGACGGCCTCAGGATAGGCCCGTATAACCGCCAGGAGGAGGCGTCTGTATTCATCCGGAACACGGGTTGGTAACTGAACTTCCACGGTTCCCCCAGGAAGGGAGACCGTCGTCGTAACCGTGGGGACCGCCGCGCTGGCATCGGGCGAGGCCCCAAACAAGGAGTTGTCGGTTTTTGCCGAAAGGACAGTCGCAATGAGTTGACTGTCCACCGGACTCATCGGCTTGCTTTCCATGTCACTGTCACTATCCAGTTCGGGTTCGGCCGAGGGTTCGACCAAAAAGGTCTGCGCCAGTTCCCTCAGTCCCCACTGATACTCCCTTGTTCGGGGTTGAAACGACACCCCCTCTTTCAGGAGTATCGCGGCTTTTTCATTCGTGAGTAGGGGCCGTGGGGGTCGAAAAGATAAATCACACAGCCCCCTCAACTCGGTAAATCTTTCAGGTAGGGGGTCCGTCCTGAGATACAAGGATGCAGGGGGTTCCGAAAGGTCAGCTATTCGAGACACCCTCAGCAGGGGTTCCCCCTACACCACGGAGGAGAACGTGTGCGACCAATTGGACTCGCTCCGAACTATTTCCAGTGGTTTTCGCCGCCAAGAATGGTGCCACCGATCCTGAACTCGGATCGGATATCGGTCGGGTACATCAGTCTTGTCAGTTTCCGTCGAGGGTTCATTTTCGTCTGGTGACAGGCGTCGGATCATGTTGATTTGATGGGCTTTCATGGTGAGCCGAGGCGCCGACTGGGTACGGATGCGCACCGCCAGTCTCATTGGTATCGTTTGGGGTTTGGGGTGGGCCGATGTGAGCACCACCTTACAGCTGTCAAAGTGCATTTGCGCTCCGACCGCCGCCTGCCACGGAATGCCTAGCAGAACATCATTCGCCTGTGCATCCAGCACGATCACGTCACACAAACAATGCACCCACCCCACCCGTACAGGCACGTTCGTTATTCGCCCTTTACAATGAATATTGTCTTCCGTAGCGGATATATACAGCTCATCCGGTCGGAGGGGATGAACCTGTCCTTCCCTTCCCAACTGTTTCGTCAATCTCCAAGAAATGGCGACCGCCGACGATCCCGAGTCTAGGATGGCGGCCGAAGGGTTTCCCCAGACCTCGCAGTCACACTCAATGCTTTTCCAGGTTATAGGATAGGCTCGGAGGAATACCTCGGGTTTTTCCGAGGCAGAGTCTACGGTCTGGATCATTCCTATCCGGTCGGCTTCGTGCACCCTTGAGGTCGAGGGCTGCGACTCCTCGTTTGTGGGTAGGTCCTGTAGGACCGGCCTTTTGCCCTTTCGACTTTCCTCGAATCGGCGCCTGTTTTTGAGGCACCGTTCGATCAACTTTTCGTTAGCCGCTTCGAAAATGGTTAGCAGATAGGGAATAGGGACGGGGATCCGAAGATCCAGAGCCTTCAAGGCATCCGATACGTCGATATGGCCATCCTTGTATTCAGGGCCAGGCGCCGCAAGGTCTTCGAACCCTGGTCGCCACGGCCCGAGGTCGCTTTCCTCGGTAATTCGTTGGACGTGACGTATCACTCCGATGGTCCCGGGTTCGAACAAAGCCGCAGCCATGTGTTCATCGGGCCCTATCTCGGTGGCCGCATGGGTCACCATTTCCGTTGCCCCTGTATCCATCACCGTGGCCACCCTCCCCTGTCCTGCAGCGGTTGGAGCCGCCAGCGGGATTTGGGAAGGCCCAGCGGGCCCACCCTGAGCTCGAGGTTTCGGGCAATCTTTCGCAAGGTGACCTGGCTGATTGCAGTTATAACAGCGTAGGGACTGGACAGCCCCAGCCACGGCCGGTCTTATCATAGGGGCCCCGGCGGCCATAGCCGCTCGTTGCCGTTGTGCAGCGGCTAGGCGTTGCCGCTGCAGGCCCTGAACAAACTCCGTCAACGGGGCCACTACCGTAACTAATTGAGCCGCGACCTCCTTCATGGACACTTCTTCCTCACCCTGGCCTCCTTGTGCTTGACTAGGGCGACGGGAGGCCGAAGCAGAGGAAGACGCTTTCCGATCCACGCCTTTTTTTGTCGGACCCAACCCGAAGCGATCTTCGAACATTCGTGCCGTAGCGGAGTAGCCAGTGTCGTACCCCCGTTCACCGTTCACGGGGTCTATGACCGGAGACCGGTTATGGAGTTCACGGAGTTCACGACACGGGAGTTCATGGAGTCCACGGAGAGCATTTTTTTTTTATTTTTTTTTTTGGCTGGGGGGGTCTAGTTTTTTTTTTTATAGGAGGGTGGGGGTCATCGGAGGGTAAACCCCCACATATTTTTCAAATTTTTTTTCTCGAATAATATATTTTTAAAAATTAAAAACGAAAAAAAAAAAAAAGCAACCAACCAAAATAAGTTTTTTCGTTTGTTATTTTGTACGTTATTACCATTTTTTTTCACACCCTTTTTTTTCCTTTTTTTTGGTTTTTGTTTTTTTGAAGGCACGGGGGTGTACAAGGCCCCCGCACCACCCCCCTCCTCCCCCATCCCGACCGTTCCGGCCTCCACGTGGGCGGAAATCACGTGAACGGCCACCGTGAACAGCCGTTCACAGATTTTGGCACCCGTGACCGGCCGGTCACGTTCAAGTGACCGGTGCCAGTCACGTTCACGGGACCGGCACTGGGAGTAGCTATTGCGTCGAACACCCGAAGGGTCATCTTCGTCGGATTCTGAGTCCAGGCCCACATCGTAATTTTCTTTTCCGTACTTAATTGCGTACTGAATTAGCTCTGTCAGGGTATGTTCTATAGGGTTGCATTCTTGCGAATCTTTTTCCGCAGACGAGAATCTGACAGTCCTCTGACGAAATCGGTCCGTACCATTTTCTCGTCCACCCCGGAGCGTTCGGCTAAGTACATAAAATGTTCAGCATATCTGGCCAAGGTCTCCCGAGGCTGTTGCGTGTATTCCTTTATTAAACAGAGGCATTGACCTGGTGCGATGTGATCAAACCTATCGAGGAATTTCCTCTGGAAGGCTGCCCAATTGGTGAAGAGGTTATGTCCATACCACTCAAACGCGGTTCCGGCTAACCTTCCGGGAATTCGTTCTCGGAGCAACTGATCCGACCAGCCCTGGGCTTTCAAGGCAGCTAGCCAGGTGCGAGGGTCGGTGTCGTCTTCGGAGAAAATGGGAACTTCGGAAGGAGGAGGTACAAAGTACAGGGGATGATTGGCCATCCCCGCGTCGTTGTCGCCGTCGTTTTCACCCCCAATTCCGGGTTCCACCATCGCGGGAGGCGGGTTTCGAGCCCGGCCTCTCGCTCGGTTTTGATTGCTATTTGCGGGCCTCCGTCGACGGGGAGCCAGCCTACTCAAAAATGCAAAAAATCTCATGAAAGATCAAAAAGAAAAAAGGAGAAACTTTAAAACAGGGTAATTGTCCTAGGAAAACCTCAGAGCCGAAACCAATCAGCTCTGATACCAACCTCACCCCCCCTCGCGGTGTCCCGTACGGGGTCGCCGATCAGCGTTTTAGGAGGGGCGTGGCCGAGGATTTTTGGCCGTAAGGGTTGAGTCTCCGGGACGGAATGGGAGGCCCTCGTTTCGTGCCAGAGGTTTTCCCCGGAGTCGAACTGTCGCCCCGAAGTCCCGTGGGGGTCGGATCACTCCGAGACGATAAAATCAAAAAGGTTTCCGCAAAAACGAATTGTCGTCGTGCATCAGGACGGGAAAAGGCATAAAAAGGGGGGGGGGGGGGG